AAATCCGGATGGTGGCTTAATCAGTAAAATAAATATAATGTCACCCTTTGGGTGGCCATTTCACATTTCTTGTTTGAGTTATTCTTGTTATTAGTGGAGAGACATAAATATATATATATATATATACAAATACCTCAAGGCATAAAAGCTACGAGATGAACTTATCTGACGATTATAATTGAATCACTGGTACCTTTTATATTAAAAATGAAAAGCAATAATATTTCGAATTCATGTGTAGCTCTATATTATATTATAGCCTCAGAAAATATGTTACATGTAAGTGCAAAAAGTGTAAAAAAAAAAATGTAATTGACCTTTGAGAAATATGCACGATAACAATAATTCCAGTTGTATATAATATAACATGTAATAACGAAATCTAGTTTATAGACAATACACTACCATATACAGAAACTCGGAGTTATCTTTTTGCCGCATGCTGATTCCTTGAAAGCTTCTATTTATCATTAGTAACAAGATACAAACATCCCCGATAACATAGAAATTGAAATAGAACAACACGTGTTCTCGATTACTACCATCACTATTAAGTGGTATTGTTGAACGTATGCCGTCACGGCTGCTGTGGGCCATCGTATTTTTTATTTACATCAATTCAATGCAATGAACTTGAGACACGTAACTTGTAACATCGATGTACCTATGAACCTCCCATACAATTAGTAGTCCTTGCGAAACCTGACACCCACAGGGAACCCTCTGAATACCATCTGTCGAAGATCAAATATGGACATCAAAGCGTCCACCGATCTATAAACTCATAGTCCATTCGACGCTAATTGCGAAGTCTTGTTGATTGCACAAGCAAGATTTTAACAAGATTGTATAGACACACTCAAGCGTAACATTGATTCGCGAGAGTGGTCAGGTGAATACATGAGGAACACTACGAGAGAAACCATAGAGGAAAATGCTAGGTCAAACTTAATGAAGGGACAGTTTACAAACTGTTTGTTTCACAAGAAAATGACACTTACATCAGAAATAGTTTTTGTTAATGCCTGATAATAAAAGTTTATCAATGAAAGAAAGGTTCGTTTTCAAACTTTCATGGTTTGAGGTAAAAACTATTGATTGATCGATCAGTTGAAACATGGTCTAGGTAGGGGTGAAGCGGCGTTAACATTACAGAAAGGTAAATCGATTCACAGTCTAAGTAGGAGAGTAACATTATACCCAGCTAGCATTGGATGTCATGTTTACGTCAAATATTGACGTCAGGATTACGTCAAATAATGTTCAAAAGTGAATGTCACATTGACATCATTTCTTGACGTCAAATTAACGTCAAATATTTATGTCAACTTTACGTCAGGAATATGTCGGAACCTGACGTAATTTACATCAGGAAGTGGTCGTGATTTGACATAATTTTACTGGTTTATTGTAAATGATAACATAACACAGAGTGTTGGTTTCAATCAATTTTAATATCTTTAATTTTCAGAATAATAAATTACACTTCACTTTTACTTGTAAAATATAATAAGGTATATGCCTTGTCGAAATCCCTGCGTTGGTCAATTACATAAAATGTCAAAAGACGAGACAACCATAAATACAACACATGTTAATCTCCATAATTAAACAAATATTGATCAATGAGAATGTTACTGAATTATAATGTAATGTGGATACTTGTTAAAAATATTTCATAACTTTGTTAACTTTGTCATTTAAAAAAAAACATATCCATAACAAATGACAAATATCAATTCATTAATACGAGATCAATATACATACTGGAAGACAACAATCAGAAGATATTGGTGGACCATGTCCATATTTAGCCAATTATCAATTAACTTTGTTGTTGTTTTTCGTTGCAATGATTGACCTCAAAATAATTCATTTCAGAAACAATGATTTCAAGCGTAAATTATTAAACACATATAAGACAAGAAAATGTAGCAAAGCTGCTGGACACAATTTTATAACGACATCACCTTCTAGGAGATAATATGGAGTATATGATTTATACCTGCCGCAGTTTTAACAAATAATGCATTTGATAATGCACTTTAAGATAATCTATCTGATCTATATGTATATAAAATATACATATCTGTTTGAGGATACAAATATACTTCAACAGCTTGAAGTAATCACATATTGAGTGTGATACGAAAACACATCTCGTCATAACGCAGGTGTTCTGACTGTTATCACATATTTGTTTTGTTAACTCACCTGTACTGATCAAATACCCGAGGCCTGATATTTCACAGATAAAAAAGCAAAAAATACCGATAGCGTAGGAATTTCCTATTATTTTTGTAGATACAATGCAACCTCAATTTCATGGAAGGCTTTAACGCATGGAAAACCACCGGAAGACCACAAAAAAACACCGTTTACAGATCAAACCTCCGGCGGCGAAACAGGTCATATGACACACGTTACATAACGAAGGCTCAGTTGACATACGGTCTAGGGAGGCGAGTAACGTTCTAAAATGAACGACCAGTTGACACACGGTCTAGGTAGAGAGTAGCTTTATAGAAGGAAGGATCAGTTGACACACGGTCTAGGTAGGAGAGTAACGTTATAGAAGAAATAGAAGGGAGGTTCAGTTGACACACGATCTATGTAGGAAGTTACGTTATAGAATCAGTTGACACACGGTCGTGGTAGGGGAGTAACGTAATAGAAGGAACGATAAGGTGACACACGATCCAGGTAGGAAGAAACGTTATAGAAGGAAGGCTCAGTTGACATACAATCCAGGTAGAGAGTAACGTTATAGAAAGAATGATCAGTTGAAACACGATCTAGTTAGGGAGCAACGTTTTAAAAGGGATGATTAGTTGACATGCGGTCTAGAGAGGAGAGTTATAAGGGAGAATCAGTTGACACACGGTCTGGGTAGGGGAGTAACGTTATAGAAGGGAGGTTCAGTTGACACACGATCCATGTAGGAAGTTACGGTATAGAAGGAAGAATCAGTTGACACACGGTCTAGGTAGAGAAGTAGCGTTATAGAAAGGAGGATCAGTTGACACACGGTCTTGGTAGAGAACAACGTTTTAGTAGAGAGGAATAGTTGACGTACGGTCTCAGCAGGAAGCAACGTTATAGAATGGCGGGATCAGTTGACAGACGGTCTAGGTGGGAAGCAACGTTATAGAAAAGAGGATCAGTTGAAATACGTTCTTGGTAGGGGGAGCAACGTTATAGAAGGAAGGAGCAGTTGACAGATCGGTACAGGTAGGAAGTATCCTTATTGAAAGGAGGATCAGTTGACACACGGTATAGGTAGGAAGTAACCTTACTAAAAGGAGGATCAGTTGACATACGGTATAGGTAGGAAGTAACCTAATTAAAAGGAGGATCAGTTGACACACGGTATAGGTGCATAGATGGAGGAAGTAAACTTACTAAAAGGAGGATCAGTTGACACACGGTATAGGTAGGAAGTAACCGAATTAAAGGAGGATCAGTTGACACACGGTATAGGTAGGAAGTAACCTTACTAAAAGGAGGATCAGTTGACACACGGTATAGGTAGGGAGCAACGAGTTAGAAGGCAGGATTAGTTGACATACGGTAAAGGGAGGAGAGTAACAAAGGAGAATCAGTTGACACACGGTCTGGAAAGGGGATTAACGTTATAGAACGAATTATCCGTTGTCGAATTATCCGATGTCACACGGTATGGGTAGGAAGTAACGTTATAGAAGGAATGATCAGTTGACACATGATCTAGGTAGGAAGTAACGTTATAGAAGGAAGGTTCAGTTGACACACGGTCTAGGTAAGAATTCACATCATAGAAGAAAGGATCAGTTGACATTTGGTGTAGGTAGGAAGTTACGTCAAAGAAGGAAGGTTCAGTTGACACACGGTCTTAGTAGGGAAATAATGTTATAGAAAGGAAGATCAGTTGACATATGGTCTAGTAATGGAGCAACGTCATAGAAGGAATGATCAGATGACATAGTAGGTCTAGGTAGTCGGTAACAGTATAGAACGAAAGATCAGTTGACATGGGGTCTAGGTAGGTAGTAACGGTATAGAAGGAATGATCAGTTGACATACGATCTAGGTAGTGAGTAACGCTATAGAACGAAAGATCAGTTGACATGTGGTCTAGGTAGGTAGTAACGGTATAGAAGGAAGGATACATTTACACACTGTCTAGGTGAGACGTAACGGTATAGAAAGAATGATCAGTTGACACACGGTTTAGCTAGGAAGTAACGTTATGGAAGGAATGATCAGTTGACTTCTGGTCTAGATAAACTTGGTATGGTTTTATTTTGTTTAACGTCCTATCAACAGCTAAGTTCTTTTAAGGACGTGACTCTATAAGTGTTGTGTATTCGCGCTTGTGTGTGTGTGTGTGTGTGCAGGAGGACAGTTAACAAATGCATTCACAGTATAAAACATTAACATCAGGACATGAAAAACTGATCGTGCAGTGTTTCTTTAGCAGAAATTATTAAATATCTAAATTAATTTTTCCCTCATTAATGCAAATTAAGGTATTTTAAGTTATTTTAAGTCGTAAACTACTGTATTTAGCAATTCATTCCAGTAAACTACTAATGTCATATCATGACTCCTCACGTTTTCGTTCTGCAGAACAAGCTATTTAAATCTGGATTCTTGTTTCCTTTTATTTATGTATTTGACTTTTGTTATCTTTTAAGAAGGCAACTTTTGTTGGGCTTCATACCAGGATGTTTCTCGTCAAATATCATGATTATTGACTCTAAAGAAGGAAAAACGTCGTTTAAAACAGAAAAAAGACAGACAGACGGACGGATGACCGCCAGACGGACAAACTACGAGGGAGGCCGTGCCATTGCATAGGACCACTTGACTTTCAGTGTAAGGTGAAATGTATTGTATTATGACACTTATGTGTCACCGTAATGATTAGTAAACTGTCGTAGAACGACAGCTTGTAGCCCGGTCCTTTCTATATCTCTACATTGTACCGCATGTATAGCTACACAACACATGGACAGACTACAGGGTATGAAGTGTTTCATCAAATTAGTTATATTCCCAGGAATAATATGTCTGTGTGCAGCAATGTGGATTACAGGGTACGTATTGTTACAAGTTTACACCATATAGTTATAGAGTTGTCAAACCGATCAAATTTTAGTAACCGGTTACTCGAACAATCCCCGATCGAGTAACCGGTTAATCCGTCAATTTGGTAATCAAACAATTATAAACAACGACAAAATGTTATGTGTTTAGCGAATAATTTATTTGAAACGTATTTACACCACAAACATATACAAAATGTATTATATATAAATAAGCATGATAGTTTACTCGCGTGTTTCAAGCTAAACACAGAAAAAATAGTTACAGGTAACCTCAATAAATATATTTCATTGACAAGAAATGTCGGGTTACAGTAAGGCATGATTCAATTACAGTTATCAGGGCCCAGTTGTTCAAAAGGTGATTAGCTTAATCAGTGATTAGCGCAAATTTTATTTTAGCGTAACTTTAAAACACAACCATTGAATTAGTTACAACTTTCCATTTACATGCAAAATTGTGAGATGTTACCTTGTATATTGACGAAATCGTTAAAGGTTGAAAAATGTTGTTAAACAGTGATTAAGCTAACCACCCTTTGAACAACTGGGCCCTGTACTCTAAATCAGATCAATTGTCTATATGTGACAGAAAGTATGGTGTTTATAAGTGTGTATATAATTGTAAACACAAATAACAAGAATTCCAACGGAATTATTTGTCTCGACTGTCACTGCTTTGCATATCAACAGCAAATATCTGGTCAATCATAGCAAAATAAAGCCACCAATCATTTCTAATTACGGAACTTTACTTTATTCAAACTTGTTTTCAAACTTCCAACTTCAAATCAAAATTAAATTGGAATTTAAATCAGAAAAAGGTTTATTTAACAATCTTACTCTGTGGTAAAACTTTTGAATATATCATAGTAAAAAAATTAAAATAATCGAAATTATTTCTTTTCATTTTTAGAATAAAGATGTTTAGGAAATATTTCTCATATCATACCCAGCACATTAAGAAGGTATAAAGTATTGAGATGCACTATAGATGAAGAATCCGCCATCTAAGTTTAGTTGGTTTAGAACTTGCATTTAAAAAAAAAAAAACATCGCTAAAACTTGAAAAAGAACATCTAAACACAGATAAAAAAGATACTGAACCAGAAAACAAGGTAATATTCAGCATCCGAAGGAATCCAAGGTCAATTGGTACAAGTTTAGTTGGTTAACTTCTTTGTACTGGAATTAAATAATTTTATATTTAATGTAGAAATTGACTGACTATACTCCTTAAAAGTACACTGTATAAAGTATTTGTATTGTGTGATTTTGAGGTTTCTCTTGTGAAACCAATTTTTATTATAAATACTTACCACAGTCATTATAATGCATATTCCAACCTTACTTGGCTCTTTACATACGTAAATAAAGAATTTCCCCCCCCATGGGGAACCCCTGGAAAACCCACCAATCAGACGCCAGTATTCACGCACGTAATCAGACACGAAGCCATGCTTCCCACTTCATAATTCCAAAGCCCAAAAAAGTGAGAGCCAAGGAGACAAGGGGAGGCTGGGAGGGAACTCACCTAATGACTGTGGTAAGTATTTATAATAGAAATTGGTTTCACAAGAGAAACCTCAATTCTATTTCAAAATACATTACCACAGTCATTATAATGCGAATTCGACTTACCGCAGTGGTGTCTCCGTGAGCGATGAAGGGTTCCAACAATAGGACCCATACCCCCAGAGGAAAAATTCAAAAAATTTCTTTTGTGACACAGATGACCCCTCCAAACAGCAGCTGTCATGACCTCAGCGTAAGAAGAACCATTAAATAAGGCCCACGAAGTAGCTAAAGCGCGAACCTCATGAGCCCTAACCCCTGACACCCGCAAGGACTGATCCCCTGCCGACTCATACGCAGCTCGAACAGTCTGAACAATCCAGCGTGAGATGGTCGCCGCAGATAAATCGGAGCGACCGGGCTGGAGAGACTGGAACAGCCGAGACGAATGTCCCGTCCCCCGCTACCCTTCTGTTCTTGACAAGTAGTAACGCAAGGCCCGAACTGGGCAGAGCAGGCGATCAGGACAATCCCCATCCAGAGTTTAAGCAAAAGAAGGGATAACCACAAGCCCTGGGGTGAAACCGGGAACCTGGTTCTTAGCTAAAACGGAAAGAGCAGTGGTCACTGAGACCGAAGAATGGCCAGCCGAAAAACGAATTCAAGAAGGAGATCTGCTGAAAGCATGAATCTCGCTTCTGCGGCGACCGGAAGCAAAGGCTATCAAGAACACAGTCTTGAAAGTAAGAAACTTCCGACTGAAGGGGCCTGAATGGCGCCCTCAACAAGGAATCTAGCACAAGTGCTAAATTCCACCTGAAGGAGCGAAGTGAGCTCCGGAACAGCCGAATCCGAGGAAGGTCGTGGGCAAACCCCGTCCCCCAGAAGCTTCATAACTTCTGCACGTAGAGTGCGAAACGAAGCCGAAACCTCAAGGGGCACCGGATCAGCATCTCGGGGCCGGGATTGGGTAACACCGGAAGGGCATTCCGAGTCCAACCCAGACGAATCAAACGACTCCAAATCAGAGTCAGAAAACTCGCCGACTCTATCCTCATCCCGAGTCTCCGTAAAATTGGAGCAACCAGGAGAGCCCCGAAGAACGTCCCTCTCATCACTAGGAGAGGCACCCGCCGAATCCACCTCCATCAACGTCACCCTCTGAGGAGGGGTGCGAGGAGGGGAAAGAGAACGTGACCTGTCTTGAGAGACAGAGGAGAGGCAATCAAGAGACCCTGGAACCTGCTGTAAGGTAGTAGTTGACGCAGGACAGCGGAAGTTACTGGTAGACTCGAATTCCAAAATAGGAGCTCGAGACAACGCAGCACGACCAGCAGCCCTAGCATGACGCGGTCTCTGCCTGACAGAACCGGTAGCAAAAGCTGGCCGGGCACGGCAAATGTCACAAGGCTGCTCCAGAGATCAAGACCGACAGCTAGGGCAGTAAGGGTGGGGATCGGAAGCCTCAAATAAATGACCCCCAGGACAGCGCCTTTGAGAAGGAGGAGTCTCCATCTCAAAGTAAACAAACCGTCAAACGCGAACACGTTGCCGAAGAGGGGAAAGAGAACGTGACCTACCCGAAGGAACTATCGGGGCAAGCGATAGTCCTTGAGAGACAGCAGGAGCAGGATCAAGAGACCCTGGAACCTGCTGTAAGGTAGTAGTTGACGCAGGACTGCGGAAGTTACTGGTAGACTCGAATTCCAAAATAGGAGCTCGAGACAACGCAGCACGACCAGCAGCCCTAGCATGACGCGGTCTCTGCCTGACAGAACCGGCAGCAGAAGCTGGCCGGGAGCGCGAACGGCTCGGTGGCGGATGGAGGGGGGGCCCCATCGCCGCAGGCAAGAAGGCGGGGGGGGCATATCCAGGCTGGAAACCCATACCACCCTGGGGTGGAGGGGGAGCGGCTGGAAAAGCCCCCTGCTGGGAGAAACCCCAAGACTGCCCATAGGCGGTCGGTGGTTGGGGCGGAGCATAAAAAGGAGCCTGTTGACCCCAATGAGCTCCATTCCCACCCTGCAAATAGGTGGGATAAACCAGGGAGGACCCTGGAACAGAGCCACCAACCTGATGCCCGAAACCGGAGGCAGGACCGGTTTGGGGGGGCGGGGTAGGGAACCTAGGGCCACCTACACACCCGCCGCCATAAGCCACACCTGGCTGACCTGACCAACTCCACCCAGACTGACCTACAGCAGGGCCAAAACCTGTAGGGCCAGTAAAACAAGCCCCACCAGGGGAGCAGCGTGCACCGGCAAAACCAAACGCAGCCGTGCTGGCACCTACCATAGGAAAACCTGGAGAGGAGGCACAAGGGATAGAGCTGGGAGCATAGGTTTTTACACCAGTGCTCACACCACCGTAAAATCCAGCCGAGGCTAGCGAGACCGGACCGGGCAGCAAATGTTGCACAGTGGTGGACGGCGTGCTAGACGCTATCACCACGCCAGGGGCTACATCAGGGATGCAGGGAACCCCGGGACAAAACTGCCGGGGGCCGGTCTCCGACAACAACACCCTCGGGAGTGGAGCGGACCGGCAGGAGGCTACCAACAGAAGCATCCGCGGACACAACATGGCTGGCCTGTTTAACATTTAACATTCCCTGCCCTCCAACCACAAATTGGGAGAGAAGGCCGCCCCCCCCCCCCTGTCACCTAGTCACCGTGGTGACCGGGACAGAGCCCAAACCCTCACCCATGTCGACCGACATAACGGTAGGGAGGGGGGGGGGGTGGGTGAGAGAAAGGTCCGGGTCCAACGGAACAAATTGTTTTACAACGGCCCCGGTACGGGCCGAAACCAACCCCAGGGAAGACTCAACAAAGGTCGAAATTCCGCTGGTGTTCTCCGAGGGGTTAGGCCTAGCCTTAGCCCTCGCCCCACCCCTACCCCTCCTACCCGACTTACCTGCACGCCCTCGCGGGCGGGGAGAACCACCGGCAGGAACCGGCTGCCAGGCACGGCAAATGTCACAAGGCTGCTCCAGAGATCAAGACCGACAGCTAGGACAGTAAGGGTGGGAGTCGGAAGCCTCAAATAAATGACCCCCAGGACAGCGCCTATGAGAAGGAGGAGTCTCCGTCTCAAAGTAAACAAACCGTCAAACGCGAACACGTTGCCGAAGCCTGGTCGCAAAACGGCGCAAAATAAAGCAAAACGCTAAATTAAAACAAAATAGAGTAATATAGTATAAAGGATACAATATATATCGGTACAAACAACGCCAGTAGCAGTTGGAAACCCTTAGAAGAAACCAAACACGTCGGTAAACACGGAAGGATGAAGGAATTATGAAGTGGGAAGCATAGCTTCGTGTCTGTTCACGTGCGTGAATACTGCCGGCTGATTGGTGGGTTTTCCAGGGGTTCCCCAAGGGGGGGGGGGGATTCTTTATTTACGTATGTAAAGAGCCAAGTAAGGTTGGAATATGCTTTATAATGACTGTGGTAACGTATTTTAAAATAGAAAGTCAAGTTTATGTATATATGTAATTATTGCCTGATTTGTCTTCTAAACAATCCTTAATATGCAGTGACGGTTGTATCTTTGTAATAATAATTATTATTATTATTCGAGTTCTTATATACCGCTTTGTCACAACCTAGTTCGTAGGTCGTCTCAAAGCGGTTCACAATTGATCATTCGTAGTTATAGGGCCTTTGCAGCCAGCCAATATCCTCCTCAACTCCCCGGGGAGCATACAGCCGGTGCTGCCATTCCGGCGCTCACAGCTAGCATTCAACAAGTCTAGCACTTCCCAACCACGTACTCATTTACAGTTGAGAAGACTGGAACAAGCGGAGTAAAGTATCTTGTTCAAACATACAACACAGCGCCGTGACGTGACCCGAACCCGCAACCATTTGATCACGAGCCCGGCGTCCTACAACTAGACTACCGTGCTTACCAGTACATTGTATTGTAATGTTATAACATACAAAAGGTCAAGATCATTCAAGTATACGGGAAACAAAATGGGGATACATTTCCCCCCTGTTTTAATCCGACATTGCAAACGAAAAATTCCGAAATTTCATTTCCGTTTTTAACACATGACTTGGTAATAAAATATAAGTTTTGGATAACATTAAAAACTTGTCCATTTATGTTAACATCTTCTACCATAATCCCGTTCGCCAAACCGTGTCGAACGTTTTTCGAAAATCAACAAATGTACAGTACAGCCTTTTCCCTTGAGCAACAATGAATGTATTATGAAAAATATTTTCAGTCGTCAAGTAACCTTTTCTAAACCCTGCCTGAGAAGGAGTAATTAGGTTAATTTCAGCAGCTAATTTAGTTTGTTTTTTTGATGATACGAGTAAACACTTACCCAAGCACGACACTAGAGTTATAGCTCTATAGTTGTCCGGGTCGCAAGTTTCTCCTTTATTTTTATAAATAGGCTTAACTATTCGTACTGTCCATGAGTATGGGGCTAATCCAGTTTTTAGTACATGTATACTGTTAAATCGCATTGTATATAACGGCATAAATTTATATCATTTCCACGTGCTTTGTTATGTCTTAAATTATTAACCGCATGTATAACCTTTTCTTCTGAAATACCTTTGTCTAGTATTCGGTAAAAACTATTGTTTTCTTGTTCGGGAATATTTATGTTATCGTCATCCCGGCCATCAGTTGAATTGTTCAGCGTTTTCGAAATACTCAAAAAGTTCATTTATTGGTATGTCGGCTTTAATAGATTAGGGTTTAGCAGACAATATTTTTAATAAATTCCATAGTGATTTTGGGTTATTATTTGCAGATTTCCTTATATCCCTTTCCATTTTATGCTGATATTCCTTAACTCGGGGCTTTTCTGTTTCTTTTTTTTTCACTAATTGATATTTCTTCTTGGCCATGTGAAACTCATTTCTCAGTTTTTGACATTTTCCAGTATAACATGGTTTATTAATTGTACATGCATCACTCCTGTGCATGTAGGGATATCCTTTACCGAACGCCTTATTAGCTGACCATACCTATTCTGCTCACGATGTCATTAAGTTCGGTTTTAGTGATATGGTCCACGGCTTTATCATTCAATTGTTTTAATGTATCACTAATTTGTTAACACCATCTTCATTATGGATTACGTCTACAAATATGTTATTTTTCTCAAAGTTCCATTTGACATAAGACATGCTATTAGAGCTTGGGTTACACTGGCTGTTATTTGCATTATTAATTCCATGTAAGACTAGTTCAATAGTCCAATGGACATCTACATGTAATATCAATGGGTTGAAATCATTAACTTTGAGATTCTTAACTAATTTGAACAGATCTGATGATAATAGCACATAATCAATGACAGCTGAATCACTGCAAGTAACATTACCAACATTTTTATCATCACGTTGTCTTCCGTGTGCTCATACAAATTGCTTAATTTAAAAAAATCTAGGAGCTTGTATCCAAAATTATTAATTTTCGATTTACATTCACTAGACCTTTGTAGTGGTACATTGCCCAACCTTAATGTAGGATCATCAATTCTATTCATTTCAAGGATTTCTGCAAATGCATTGTCAGGCTCCACGAAATCCTGCCGTAGTCCTTTTTTGCATTGAAATCGCATTTCATTGAAACTTTGGTATCATCTCGACAAAAAAGTTACATTTCTTGTTCAATATCAGAAAATACTTTTTTCTATGTTTCGCTTCATACATGTACCCATCAGGTACGTCTAATATATCAAATGGGAGGCACGGCAGTCTAGTGGAGTCACGGCACGGCATTGTGTTGTATCTTTGAGCAAGATACTTTAGTCTACTCAGCTGAAATTGAGTACGTGGTTGGGCAGTGCTAGAATGCTAGCTTTTAGCGTCGAAATGGCAGTTCCGGCTGTATGCTCCCCAGGGAGTTGAGAAAGGTATTGGCTGGTTTCAAAGGCCCTATAACCACGGACAATAATTTGTCAACCGCTTTGAGACGACCTACGAACTAGGTGGTGATAAAGCGGTATATAATTCCACAATCATTAATTGAGTCCAGGTGCAGTTCCCGTCGGGTGACCTCCTCTGGGGGTAAATAATAGTCGGTTATTGATTTTGGTTACCGGTTCGTGGTCATCTGACACAGTAACCAAGTAATCGGTTAAACGTTGACAACCCTAATAGTTTACAATCATTTTAACACTTATTACATATATGAAATATAATTTGAAGAATACAAATCGATAAGTGCCAACAACAGGGAACTGGTTGTATTGTTTTTTCCTTAACGGAAAATAGAGTATATATGATTCTTACTCATTATTAAATTACTTTTTAATGGCAATGCACATGCTGCACGGCCAGGGAGCAAGTAGAAGAACAGACCTACCATACCATGCAATGTATAGAAAATTAAGAAATGAACGTTTCCGTTTAGATCTGCAATATTTAGAAGGCTTGATATTCAAGAATTTCCTATTCTGTTATATTCTACAGAGATATGGAGTTTCGAAAATACTTCTATCATTGAAAAATACTTATCAATCTTGCCAGACTATTAAAAAACATTTGAATAGCAATGCTAACTTTAAAAAGCAATCTAGTGTCATGTATAAGGAAATAAAACAGTTTCAAGACAATAATGACACCCATTAAAAAAATGTGTAAAGTCGTGAACTGGCTACATGGCTACAGTAAACGAATGTACTAATGATTGGGATCATCTATACGCATGTTTAACATAGTGTTGTGCTACCAATTGCTCACCAATGGTAAACAGACCTTCTCTTGTTTGGTAGAAAATTCATCAGTGTGTCAAACCTACTCTTCATCTAAACTGAATTTTGTACTTGACTGCTACTGACTTAATCTTAAACAGTAAGATAAGTTGTAGGTTAGCCGTATTAAAGTATGTATATCAGAACGTCTAATTCAAAACTGTCTGTCGGTCTAACATACCACGACAAGAAAAACAATCCTCTTGGTACGAACGTCTATTACTGTCACATGTAGGAATATAAGATAAGATATAAAAAATACTGGAAATTCGTAATAACGCGGAAATACACATTATTACGAGAACTAACACGTTATATTTACATTTGCTCTGCACCCTTCCATTGCAATGCATTGCGAAGGCAAATAATGTTATGAGATTATAACAACATTTGCTATTGTAATGTCATCAATCTGTATTGTGACATCATCAAATTTATTGTTGTCAACACTTAAGTTGTTGTTCAAAATCTGTTAGAAATAACTAAATAAAGCATAACTACTTTATCAAAATGTAAACATAAATTATGAATATTTCAGCAAATATTGTTATGGTCCTATATCACACATTTCTATTACTGACGAACTTATACATAAAGCCCTACCAGGCTTTATTACAAGTTTCTCATTAATAGCAATGTGTGTTATAGGACCATAACGACATTTGCTAAAACATTAATTGCCAAACCAACTGAATAGAAGTCAGTACACTAAAGTCCTCTATTAGGTGAGAGCCAAACACAAATGTGAACTGGGGATCAGTTATCTCGATGCCTCTAGCCTATGAGAGAGACCGTGACTAACGCTTAGAAAAAATACACTACCCCAAGACACGAGGACCACAAAAGTACTCATCGTATTTATTGGGGTCATGCCATTACGACCCAATCGCTTGTAGAACTTACCATAGTTTATACGGAAAAATAAGTCTTTTCTCTATAAACTGTACATTCAAAGACTACATAGTTTCACACTTGGTAGCGACGGATAATAAATAATAAGTATTGTTATGGCATGCAACCTGTGACCCCTCGGTTGATGTGAGAAACAATTGGTGTGTGTATAACTATGGCTGTATCTCGTGGAATTTTGTTCCGACCGGACCCCGCAAAAAGCACAATATGCGTATTTACATGCTTATTTGCGTTATTCCGCGTTTGTTTGTGTAACAACGTGATTTTTTGGGGGGTTATAACGTGGGGGTTTTCACCTTATTACGACTTTCCAGTTTTAGTTTTTTTATAATTGACTCGATGAGGCTTTCGTATGTTGGTGATGAGTTTCTTTATAAATAATGTAGAACCATATACGTGACTATTACATTCGAATCTCATTTTCATCGAATGAAAGGATTATTATTGATTTGCAATGTCCGAATTATATGTTTACAGTTCATTTAACAGAAGGTGGGAAAATAAGTGAAAAGGAAACATTAAGGTACTTACCAGAGCATTAATTTGTTGTGATCAACAATCGTCCTTTCAATATTTCCATTGTTTTCTATTATTTCTGACCATTTTTTATTAGTAATTATGTGTGCCTAGGTGCTCTGATAACATCTAAACTTAGGCTGTTTGCAGTAATGATGACTGTTAAGTAACCTTTGTCTTGCAGACTTTACCACATAGTACCCATCTTAAGACCAAGCAACGTTAAATGGATCGCTACTGTCAACACCGGGGCCAACAGTCCACTGGACAGGTATCCTTATTATTTGAAAATACGGAATGTAACAAATCTACTCCAGACCGCAAACGGAAAATTTTCCGTTCTGAGCATCAACAGCAACCGAACTATTTTCCATTTAGGAGAGATGATATCCGTAAGAATCGACTTGTATAATGGGTATGGACAACACCTGTCCTCTGGCGGGGACCTCCTTCGAATATGGATGACGGACACATCCAGTAATGCTAATGTAAATGGCTACGTCACTGACCTCGGGAATGGCTCTTACATAGGTCACGTGTTGGCTGTGTGGAAGGGAAAAGCACTGATTAAAGTATCAATTGCAAATACAAAGGAACAGGTCGGGTTAGTAGCACAATATTTAGAGAAACACGGATTGCTGAGAAACATAAAAGCTACCTTTAGGTCAGATGATATGAAGGTATGGGAGACGAC